TTTTTTTTTTTCTGCTGCGTGCCACAAGTCCAAATGATTCGCCGCTCCGGCTAGGAGTTCTACCTTCTTCTCTGAGTGGTTTTCAGTTTGTTTCTTTCATCTGAACTATCTATGTCCAGTATTGAGACGCGTGCGCAGACAGCGAAGAGAGAAGAAAGGGAGAGAGAAGGTGTTCTGTTTGAGAGTGTGAGGAGGGGCAAGAGGAGTGTTCGTCCAAACGTAAGAAGAGAGCGGACCCCTCTTGAGAGTTCTACTGACACCCCTTCCTCCAGCATGGCGGTCATCACATCTGCCGAATGGCAGGCCATGCTGGACGCAGCAGACGGAGCCAGAAACCATTCTTTCAAAAACTGTATGATGATGCCGTGCAGAGGGAAAGGGAGGCAGCGGCAACAGCTAGAGCCGCCGACATTGCTGATCAGGTGGCTCTCCTTCGGATCTCGGAAGCCAATGCTGACCGATTCCAGGAGGAACTGGCTGCTGCTGTAGCAGCCTTGGTCCGACTAAAACGCCGCAATCCCTACTGCCATTCAGTACAGCGGTCCCATGGTGGATAAGCGGGCGGCCACGCTGCCGTCCAAGTACGACGGGAAGGCAGACATCACCTCTTGGATTAGTTCCATGAGGTCGTACTTCGAGGTCATGCGGACACCGCAAGAGGACCGAAGTATGATCATGGGGACTAATACTGAGCCCGCCGTACGAAACCACATTGAGCTTCAAGCTGTCGCAGCAGGCTATGAACGCATAGACCTGACTGATTGGCTGAAGGTCACCCCTGTCCGCGCCCTTGAGGATCTTCTCCTTGACCGGTACCGAGATAAACATGCTGCGCTCAAGGCTAGGCTGAAGCTTGAGGCCCTCAAGGGCCAAACGTGGAGGTCATCCATGCAGGCTTTGGAACAACACTTGACTGGTCTGTTCACCACTCCGGATCTGGGAATGACTGACGTATCTTGTATGGATGTAGYCATGGGAGTGGCCCCTAAAGAATACCTCTCCCTGCTAGCACTCAAGGACCATGCCACCTTGCGAGAGCTCATGAAGGACCTAGTCGACCTAGAGGCCAAGGACCTCGCCAGGCGCAAGAAGGCGCCCGCTGCAGGTGGGAAACCACAACGCAAGCGGTTTGGAAGCAGCAACCAGCTTGCACTGCATGATCATCGGGAGGCTGAAGATCAGTCCTATGCGGATGATCTGTCTCTAGATGACGATCTAGAGCCGGACTCCGATACGGGCTGTTCCACATCAGCCCTTGAGTGTGACAGAAATGATGATGAGAAACTTAATGCATTCAGAAAGACTGCTTCAAATAAGGGGCCTAACTGTGGTTCAGGTAAGGGAACTGTCTTACACCTTCCCAAAAATGCTAAGATCCCTGAGAAACCAGAGGACGCTTCTACCAAGCTTTGGGAAGCCCTCCGCATCAGCCAAAAAGAATGGGAAAGAAGGTCCAAACTGCGCGTATGCTCGCATTGTCAAAAGCCTGGGCATGTTGTGCAGGATTGCTATCGTCTTCAGGGAAACAGGCAAGGGGCGTAGAGGAGTCGTCAGCACTCTCTACAGCAAGTGAAGCTGGGCAGTCAGTTGCAGACCCTTCCGAGGAGCCTGGATCTGATCAGCAGCGTGCTCTTGAAGCCCAAACTAATGCTGATTCCAAGGCTGATGCAGTCCAAGTGTTATACACTGAGCCTTGGGAGGAGTCTAAAGAGGTCGACCTCCACGCCCACATGGAGCATTGGCTGCAGCTCAAGCAGCAACGCTGTGTTCAAGGGAGCGTGGAACTGACTTTCTTTAAACTACTCATTAACCGCCGATACATCCGTGTGCTGATTGACAGTGGTTCGACCACTAATTTCTTCTCTCCTGGGTATGAAGCAAGTGGAACTGCAGAACCCTTGCCGGACTCAGGTGGGCAACCAAGAGGTTGTCACTTCCACTCATGCTGTCAAAGGTGTGCGCATCACCTTTGACAAAGATCGCACTGTCACACATGAGCTGAATTTTTACTTCCTGGACAAGTGTCCTTTCGACGCGGTCATTGGCTTGGGCTGGCTAAAGGCTCATTGCCTAAGGACCATGTGGGCGGACAACCAGTTCGTGGTACTTGACGCCAAGGGAAACGAGCGTACCGTCTTGTTAGATGAGACGCGTGAGTCCCCTGTGACTCTTCTCAGTGCTAACAAATTCTGCAGGTCAGTGCGCAGGCGCAAGGACGTTGAGTTTGTACATATAGCTCTTATAAAGCCTCTCCATGTGCCTTCTACTTTTGCTGCATTTTCTACCTCTGAAGGTAACTCTACCTCTACTACTTCTACTTCTGTTCCACCTATTTCTACTGTAAATGATCAATCTATTTCTGATCCGAATACCTAGAAACCGGTTGTAATTGTTGTAAATCCCCAATCCAATTTTCTCTCTCCTGATGAGGATGATCCTCCACCAGAAATCCCAGCAAACATTCGCCATCTATTAGATCGATTTCCTGAAGTGTTGGCTGAACCTCGCGGAGTTCCCGAGCGTCCAGTCAAGCACAAAATCGAGATAATAGAAGGGAGTGTTCCTCCAAAGGGTTGCGTCTACCTCATGGGACAAGGCGAGTTGGAGGAGATGCGGAAACAAATTGATGATATGATTGATCGTGGAAGGATTAGGCCTAGCGAGTCTGAATTTGGCACACTTGTCTTGTTTGTGCCAAAAAAAGGAGGCAAACTCCGGATGTGCATTGATTATCGTGGCTCGAATCGAATCATAAGGAAGAATGCCTACTCTTTGCCTCGCATAGATGATCTGTTAGATGCGGCCGGTGGATGCAAAATCTTCTCCAAGATCGACCTCAAGTCTGGCTACCACCAGATTGAAGTTGATCCGAGCGACCAGCACAAAACTGCATTCAAGACACGCGATGGGCTGTACGAATTCATCGTTATGCCCTTCGGTCTGACGAATGCACCAACCACATTTCAGTGCCTCATGGACAAGGTACTCCGCCATCAGCTTAACAGGTTTGTGGTTGTGTATCTTGATGACATTCTGATTTTCAGCAAGTTCATGGATGAGCACGTCAAGCACCTTGAGGAGGTTTTGCAAGTCCTCAAAGAAGCTCAATTGCACCTCAACTTGGAAAAATCTGAGTTTGGTAGGGGCAGTGTCATCTATCTCGGGCATCGGTTGTCTGCAAACGACCTTGAGCCGGAGGCAACCAAGGTTGAGGTCATTCAAAACTGGCCTCGACTGGCGAACGTACGTGAATTGCGTTCTTTTCTCGGTTTGGCTTCTTATTACCGGAAGTTTGTACCCAGATTTTCTATTATTGCTCACCCGCTCTCAAGACTAACCAGCAAGAATGTTGCATATGCATGGTGTGAGAAGTGTGAGTTTGCGTTCCAAGCCTTGAAAGAGGCATTGGTGAATCATCCTGTGCTTCGCATTGCAGACCCCAACCTTACGTTCGTAGTTACTACGGATGCGAGCCAGTTCGGGATTGGTGCAGTGCTGCAACAAGATGATGGTGATGGCCTGCGTCCGCTCGAGTATTACAGCAAACGCATGCCCAGCCACAAGGTAGCTACTTCCACCTATATGCGTGAGCTTTACGCCCTGCGCAAAGCCCTCGCACATTGGAAGCACTACCTCTTGGGTCGCCACCTCAAGGTCTACTCTGATCATCAGACCTTGCAGTGGATTCAGACACAATCTGAACTCTCTCCTACATTGACCCGCTGGTTGCATGACATTGATGTCTACAGTTTTGAGTTCAAACATAAGAAAGGCTGTTATAACCGTGTCGCTGATGCTTTGTCGCGCCATCCCGAGTATTTGACTTGCCTTGTGGGTTCATACGACCTTCGAAGGAAACTGAAGGAGGATCTGATTGAACACACCGCCAAGGATCCGGACCTCAGTCCCATCCTTGAGCAGCTCAAGGCTCACCCTAACAGTCAGCCTGATTTTCACAAATGCGAGGGTCTTGTGTTCCGCCGGTATGGAAAGTTCGATCGTTTGTGTGTACCCAACCATGCGCCTCTCCGAACTCATTTCTTGGATTTGGCGCATGGTCGAAGTGAACATTTTGGCTTTGAGAAGACTTATGGAAGTCTTCTGCAGCAATTTGATTGGCCAGGAATGAAAGGATCTGCTCAGAAATTCATTGCTGAATGTCAGGTATGCCAAAGAATCAAGGTTCACAGGCATAAGCCTTATGGCCTACTGAGACCTCTCCCCATTCCTGATGGACCCGGTGAGTCGATTTCCATCGACTTCACGGACATGGGAAAGGTGAGTGAGGCTGGGAATTCACAAGTCATGGTCATTGTGGATCGCTTCTCCAAATTTCTGAACTTGATTCCTCTCCCTCCTCATGCCCCGACTAAACTTGTCATCGAGGAATTCCATCAGCAGTACATTCTGCAGTCCGGCGTCCCGAAAACCATTGTGAGCGATCGGGACACCAGATTCATCAGCAAAGATTGGAAAGACTTCACGTCTCAGATCTACGACATCAAACTGAACAGGACTTCTGGTCGACACACCGAAGCCAACGGATTGGCCGAGGAGATAAACCAGACCGTCATCCAACTGCTACGCGCAATGATTGTTCCAGATCAGAACACGTGGGACAAGGAATTACACAAAGTGAAGGGGCTGTACAACAACTCCATTCACTCTGCAACGGGTGTGACCCCAAACCAGCTGCAGTATGGATGGCCGATGCGCAATCCCCTCTCCTATTTGTTCCCCGAACGGTAACCTGGTCTGATGCCCGGCATGCTTGGCTATAATGCCAAGTACGCACGCTTGATCAAAACTCTTACTGCAGCCATGATCAAACATGCTATGATCAAACATGCTAACATGCCATGATCAAACATGCCATGATCAAACATGCTAACAAGCTGCGCAAAGAAGAAAAATTCAAAGTTGGGAATTACGTTTGGGTCAAAATGTATGAGTTTTCTGACGAAGAGGGCATCTCACGGAAGCTTCTTCCATTATACTACGGCCCTTGGCAGATTCTGAAGGTAGTCGGGGATGATTTTGGTCCTTCATTTGTGATTGACGTGCCTCCTCATCTGTGCACGTACCCGGTCTTTCATGCATCCAAACTGTTCCCACACATTGATGATGAGACGTTTCCCTTCCAAGATCCTATGATACCTCGCCCTATCGACGGCGGCCATGAGATAGACAAAATCGTATCTCACGAGGGCAGAGGGAGGAACAGACAGTATAAGGTTTACTTCCTCTATCACCCATTGACTGAATTCTTCTGGATCGACCGGAAAGAGCTGCTAAAAAGTGCTCCCCGTATTGTGAACGCTTACGAAAGACAGATCACCGAGGGGCAGACCGCTAAGTTCGTAGCGACAATGACTTCTCATGGATTGACCAAGTCTCTCTTTCTGATGTACTCCTACGATGCGTTCTGTACCGACTCTGACTGAGTTACTCACTCGAAGGGACCTCGCTCTCGAGAGGGGAGTAATGTAATGACCCGCCAAAAACACAGACTGGGAACACTGCTGATTTCTGGGATTTGCCAATGGAATGAATGCCTTGCTGTGATTCCCGCATTCTGCTGTGGTYCCAAGTCTGTGTGTATGCGTGCCTGCTGGTTTGCATGCCTGTCTGAGTGCTTGCCGGTTGTGTGTGTGTACGTGCCTGCTGGTTTGCATGCCTGTCTGAGTGCTTGCTGGTTGGGTATGTGTGTGTGACCCGCAAGGGTACTTGTTGGTTGCAAGGCCCACCGGGCCAGTACTTACCTGTGGCCGTGACTTTGAAGGGTTGCAGGGGGGTAAACACGCCGGTAGCGGGGGGTAGGCCCACGGCACTTAGAGCAGCTGGGGAAA